TATTTATTATCATGGCAAAGCGGGATAACCCAATCCGACGTGCCCTGTTCCGTCTCTAACTTGCCTTCAAATAATCTGTCCTGCCTCGTTTTCCTTTTGAAAATGAATTTAAAATTTCTCAAACGTCGTCCCCTCCTGCCTCATCAAGGACCCACCAACATATTAAAAAAATGAATTTTTAAAAAAAATTATACTCTCTGTATATATAAAAGGTATCAAATAAAGATAAAAAAAAATAAAAAAATATTATTAATTATTTTTAAAAAAAATAAAAAATAAAAATAAAATTAACTCTAGGATTAACTTGGCTGCCACGGGTTAAACTTATTTTGATCCGCCCTTAAATAAAGCGGATTCAAGCGGGTTCACAAGTTAAAAATCTTAATCCAACTTTCATTTATAACGGATGAAGCGAACCAATCCGATGGATTGGACCCATTTTGTCACCATGTGCATGAGAAAGCAGACGATTGTTTGACTATGGAAACTGGGACATCCAAATTCCTTATATTAAAAGTGGTGACGCAAAATGATATAAGAAAAAATATCATCCAAATTCCTCATGAAGGAACAATTTCATTTATCAGAAAAAATATTATAATTAAGCTGTTTTGATGGCAAGCAGTAAATTTGTACTGCCACTTTTGAGATTTCTTTTTCTACGCATTTTTAGGTTTTAGGGAGAAGGAAGAAGGCTGTGGTGTTGCAGAATGGTGCTCTTTTCTATCATAAAAATTAACATTGCCATTTTATTAAATCATATTATCAGGTACTTACCTTGATCCTGCAGCAGGACAATGCTTGGCTCTGTAAAGACCATGGACATCATAATCAAGAATTTTCAGTATATTGGTCAGTATTCTAATTATTCTACAGTGGCTTAATTATCTCAAATCTTGGCCACAAGAATTAGTCTGGGGTTATTCTAACTTAATTAGGAATTTTGAGTGCAGCTATCTCAAAATTTGGTAAATAGAACTTTGCTATCATATGATCTATAAATCAATATATAATATAATAAAAATAAAGGGATGGACCCACAATAACAATAAGGGCTTGTTTGGTGTGACGTATAAGACATGATATATAAGCTTATACTATACGTTATGACATTTTCAGTTGTTTGGCGTGATCATCATATAGTATAAGCTTATACATCATAATTTCTTAATACATCAAAACGATGTATAACTTAATCCGGTCTAAGGGTGAGGGATAAGGTCTGATAAGAGATTGATGTATTAACATCGTTGACCAATGTAATTTTCAAAAATTAATATAGTATTTTAATATTAATCTATTAAAATAAAAATTAATTTTTTAAAATATTGAATATTTTTATTTTTATAAAAATTAATTTATATTTTAGACACACTAATCAATAAATTTTTATAAAAGTTAATTTCATATGATATTTTTTGAAGAATTATATAAATTCTTTATTAAAGGATATTTTTATTAAAAATATTTATTTTTATCATATATTGTATTATACAGTGCATTACCAATATTAGATGATATTATCTTATATAATATATTATTTTATACAATACCGTGTCAAACGCTAGATAGTATTAAAATTCAATCAGGTCTTATACAATCAAACCTTATACTATCAGATCTTAAATAGTATTCCAAGAATATAAAATACTCACTACTCAATATTTCTTTTATTAAATACAGTAAAAAATAATTTTTTATATTATCTTTATTTTTATATTTATTTCTACTCATATTTTATTTCTTTTTTCTTTTTTGGACGAGGACCATATGATGCATGACCACATAAACTTTTCTCTACTGACTACATGCCACATATCACAAATAAGGCAGATTATAAGACACGATTACATATGTTTCGTAATCTACATGCCATCCGGCCACGTGTGCAGAGTAAGACACGTGTACGGAATATGTTTTCTAGAATTCCACAAAAATATTTAATTGCTATCTTAATCTACAACTGTATTATCAAAACGGATCATTTATATTACAATTTACAGTTCTATTAATTAAAATGACGATGTTGGGTCTGGTAATAACGATGTTGGGTGGGGGCAATAGCTAGTCTAGTATAGGCATGATTTTTGAATGGGTGATAATTCTAATACTTTCTAGTACCTTATAGGCATGATTTTTTTTTAGGGTGTCTTATATTGTATCGTTATTAAAATCTCGATTTATTTTTATGATTTTATATTTTTACGATTTTTTTTTTACCAAAATGATTTTATTAATATTACAAACGCTTTTACGTTTTTATGATTTTTTTTTTACATTATGATTTTATATTTTACGATTTTTTAATCTTTTTTTGATTTTATTTAAGATCTCGATTTTAACAACATTAATTCTCTTGTTTTCTTCTAAATGGTGAGGGTCATTCCCATAAATGATTTTGTAATTTAAAAGATAATAATGAGTTATTGAGTAATTTGCATTATTAGAAGTTTCAATCGTAAAGGCTTCTTCAATTCATATATATGAAAGATATGGACAAGCAGGAAACATGACAAATCAAACAAAATATCTTGTTGCTATGCTATATTTGGGACTGACGTAGCATGTGAGAACCGGCAAAAGAGTAATTGAAAGCTAAAGATGTAAATAAGTCGGTTAGTCTAATAGAAGTTTGAATAAACACTTTTTTTTATTCCTAACAAAAAATATGGTCTACTTTAGCCCTTTACAAAAATAAATTAATCAGTTAGTCCTAACAAATTTAAAGTGGACCCATTTTAGTCTTTTTGAGGGACTAATATGGATCTTTTTTGAATTTGTGAAGGACCACGATTTCAACTAAATTGGTGTACTTTGAATTTGTTAAGGACTAACTGACTAATTTATTTTTGTAAGGGACTAAAATGAAGACCGTGTTTTTTGTTAGGGTCGAAAAAGGGTATTTACTCTAGAAGTTTACTGCTCAATCTTCGTCATATCAGATGCGACTTATTATATATGATTAAATAAATTAAACTCAGACTTAAAAAAAAATGTATTTAATAAGTAGGTTATATGCTTTCTTCTATATGCTGAGCCTATAAATCAACATACCAGCTTATATTACATTATAAATAAATAAATAAATAAATTATTATTTTAATAATTTTATATAAAATAATATTTTTTTAATTATTATTTTTTAATTATTGAATGTCTAATATACTTAAATAAACAAATAAACCTGATATTAAATTTTTTATTTTTTAAATATAAGTCACGTCAAAACTTATGATTTGAATCTTAAAAAGGTATAATTATTTTACATTTCGATGCATGATATGAAAATCACTTTTATATAAAAAGGTTATTTGGATGTTAAAATAAAAAAAGCTCTCTACCAAAAAAAAAGCACATTTTATATATAATTTTTTTTTAACAATTTTTGTTGAGTCAAGTCAGACTCTCAAGTAAATTGCGGAAACGAAACAATAAAATACAATAAGAGAGAGATGAAGAAGAACATAGGCATTTTGTTTAAGGGAAATGATCCGTTTACAAACTTTTTTGATAAATTTTTACAAATTACACTATGTTCTCCCGGGAGAACATAGTGAAACTAGTATTCTTCCGGGAGAAGATAATGTAGTTTGTAAGAGTTTGTAAACAAAAAAGTTTGTAAATATAACCTGCCCTTTGTTTAAGGTGGAAAAACATCCTCCAATGTGAAGAAGTAAAAATTCACAAGGTACTAATCCAGAATCAAACTTCCATTATAGAATAATGGGTTACAAGAGTCAAGCTTCTCTAGTCTTTCACTAGAGTACAATCAAGCTTCACCAAGTATGGTGGTAACATCAAACGTTCATAAAGAGGTCTAACACTCAAACCTTTATTTAGAGGTACTCTAAAATAATCAAGCATCACCTATAATGGTGGTATTCAAACTTCCCTAGAGAGGTTTCAGTCGGGTTCTTTCTCTCATGGAGGATTTCTCCATCTCTTCCTCTATTTATAGATGGCTAGGAGGGATATCTTCAATGTTCTAGATTCTTCTTCATTTAATGTGAAGAATTTCAATACAAACTCTTCGTTCTCCAATGAAGTCCTTTTATTTTCTTATGAAGCCTTTTCATTCTTCCATGTATTGGAACTTGTATCTAATTAAGGATAAATAATCCAACAAATTTTTGGGATTTACGCAAATGAAATTTGGAGAATTTGGTTGCAATGTTAGAAAAGACTCGTTCTACAAACCACTCCAATGCTATAGGAAGATATTCGATTGTAAAGTGATAGGTTGTTGGAAGACCTAGCTAAAAAAAACAGCATGATAATGAGATAAGAAGAGATAAAATAAGTATGATAGGATGACGTTAAAATTGTATTTTAAAAATTTGATATTATCTTTTAGTTTCTACTTTTTTCAAAAGCAACCAATTACTGGCTAAAAAAAAATATTTTAATTTTAATTTTAAATTATTTTTTGAAAAAATTGTTATCCAAACATCTAAAAATTCGCAATTTGTTTTTAAAAAAACAAAATCAATTTTTTTAGGCATCCAAACGGGGAACAGTGACCAAAATGCCATTGTTCACCAATTTTTTTACCTAAATGCCACGCGAACAGTATTATTTCCCAATCTGCCACGGGACAAGTTCGCTACCCGGTATAGCGAACTCAGTTTGCTACCCGGTATGGCGAACTCAGTTTGCTGATGTGTCATGTTTCTAGTGGACACCAACTTGATTTTAACCAAGTTCGCCTACATGGTAGGCGACCTTCATTTTTTTTATTATTTTTTTTAAAAATTTGATACTTGTTATCCATTAAAAATGTGACACGTCAGCAAACCGAGTTCGCTACACAGGGTAGCGAACTTGCCCCCGTAACATATTGAAAAATAACATATAACATTTAGGTAAAAAAATTGGTCAACACTCACATTTTGGTGAGTGTTCCTCCAAACGGGCACTTACACAGTTATTGAAAGCGACGGGGCCACGGGGGTGCTTATTATTTAATATACATTGGCAAGCATGTGGCAAAGCGAAACACAATGGCAGAGGAAATGGCAAGTGAGATATTGAACTCTCTTGTAACTCAGAGGCCGCATTCAGCAGAAGCAAATCGAAACATCAGAGTGGAAGTTAACCCATCTGTTACCCTCAAGGTACACACTCATGGTCAATCTCTTACCTACTTTCCCTCATTTTCCTTCCTCAATTTAATTTTTTAGTTGTTTCATGTCTTAGAAGACATTGTTAATGAATCAAAGCTTGTACATGCTGGTGCAAAAAATTAAAGGGTTTGAATTTTTTCTTCGTTCCTCCCTCATCAAAATGAGTCTTGCACATTTATATGGTTGATGACTACCCCTGCTAATTTCAAGGGAGTGAATGGACAAAAGGATTAATCTTTCCCTTGTTGTTGCAATTTTCTCCTTATTTTCTGATTTCTTGCATAAGAAGTTTATGTTGAATTAAGCATGCTTTCAACTACTTTATTTGGATGGTTTCTGAAACAATTATCCTTTTTAATAATCAATTTAATGATGAATAGAAGAAACAGTTAACTGTTTCTAAATGTGCAAGACTCAAACAATTATCCTTGTTTGAGTCTTGCACATTTATATGCTTGCAAATTTTTCTTTAAAGTTAACTGTTAACAGTCCATATTCTACTGCACTGGTCTTTATTGCAGTTTGAAGATGTTGTGCACAGAACCAAAATTAGCATAGGGCAAAGCTTATTCTGCAAAAAGGAGGCAAGTTCTGAAGAGAAACTGGTCTTAAAAGGGATTAGTGGTGCTGTTTTTCCAGGTGAATTATTAGCCATTTTAGGCCCTTCTGGTAGTGGTAAAACAACTCTGATAAATGTTTTGGGAGGCCGGCTCAATGGTACCATTAGAGGAAACATAACCTACAATGGCAAACCCCTTTCAAAACCAGTGAAGCAAAACATGGGATTTGTTGCTCAGCACGATGTCTTCTATCCTCATCTATCAGTCAGTGAGACACTTGTCTATTCTGCTCTTCTTCGCTTGCCAAATAGCCTCTCTAAGGAAGAGAAAATCTCAAATGCTGAGGCAGTTATGAATGAACTTGACCTGACTCATTGTAAGGACACTATAATGGGAGGGCCACTCCTAAGAGGCGTTTCAGGTGCAGAACGGAAGAGAGTTAGCATTGGGCAAGAACTGTTAACAAATCCAAGTCTCTTGCTTGTTGATGAGCCCACTTCAGGTCTTGACTCAACCGCAGCTAGACGAATTGTGCTAACTCTGTGTGAGTTAGCTAAAGGTGGAAGGACTATCATAATGACTATCCACCAGCCTTCCAGCAAACTTTATTACATGTTTGAAAAGATTTTACTGTTATCAGAAGGTAGTAGCCTGTACTTTGGGAAGGGAGAAAATGCTATGAACTACTTCTCTAGTATCGGATATGCTCCATCTTTAGCCATGAATCCTTCAGATTTTCTGCTCGATCTTGCAAACGGTATGCAAGCATAAACCTTTCAAACATGCCTAGGAAATACCATCCTGCTTTATTTTTGGATTAAGACATGGTTAACTCACCCTTTACATTCAAATATTTCGTGGGCATTGCAACATCATAATCATATATATTCTAATCAACTTTTAAGAATTAATTTTGAATAAACTTTGATATTTCTGAAAAATTTGTGCGTTTTTCTAAAAAAATCAAATGACATGATTTGATATTTGTTAAAATAGATTCTGAGCTAAAGCATTAATTAGAAGATTTGTTCTCTGATTTGGTTTTGGATGGCCACTATCATTAGTCCATTCATTAATTGGAAATCATCTTAAGTTTTTCTAGGTATATATTCTGGAAATTCAGAAAATGATACAAAAGCAACAAAACAAGCGTTATTAGCTGCTTTTGAGAGTAACCTTGCATGCCAAGTGAAGATGGAACTTCAAAATGACAGGGTTTCATTACATGAAAGTTCGGAAGCAGAGATATTTGGTCAATATTGCACAACCTGGTGGCAACAGTTTAACATATTACTAAGAAGGGGTTTCAAAGAAAGAAAACATGAGCAATTTTCAGTCCACAAAATCTGTCAGGTTTTGGCCTTATCATTTTTCGCAGGTCTTCTCTGGTGGCAGTCTAGAATTGATGAAATGCATGACCTGGTATTTAGATAACATAGTACTTTAGCTTAAGAAATCCAAGACCTTTTCTGATAATTGTTACATTTGCTGTGTAGGTAGCATTACTTTTTTACTATACACAAGTGTGGGGATTCTTCCCTATGGTCCAGTCCATCTTTACTTTTCCTAGTGATCGAGGAATGATAATAAAGGAAAGGTCTTCCTACATGTATAGACTCTCATCTTACTTCATAGCAAGTAATGTTGTTGACCTTCCAGTACAGCTAGCCTTACCATCATTTTTTGTCACCATTACTTATTGGATGGGAGGGCTAAAAGCCAATGCTTCAAACTTCTTCCAAACTCTAGCTGTTGTTCTTCTCTATGCTTTGATATCACAGAGTGTTTGGCTTGCTATTGGTGCACTGCTTGTAAATAATCAAAGGGTGGCTGCTTCAGTTGGATCAGTGGTCATGACATTATCTGTTCTAGTCAATGGCTACTTTGTTCAAAATATGCCAGCATCTATATCCTGGTTAAAGCGCATATCTCATAGCTATTATTCCTATAAACTCTTGCTGGGGTCACAGTTCAAGTATGATGACACTTACCGGTGTGGTTCAAATTTCACTTGCTTAGTTGGGAACTATCCTGTAATTAAGCATGTAGGCCTTGACAAGCAAGGTTTCTCTGTTGCTGCCTTGGTGGCAATGCTTGTAGGCTACAGACTTTTTGCCTATTTTGCCCTTATGATTGGTATGAAACAAAATTAGACCCTTCTGGTGTAGATTTCAAATTTCGTTAAAAAGGGTATGTAAGTTAGGGAATACTCTCTTATTATTAATAATATTTTGCTTTTGCAGTATGTTGTTAATGTTGTTTGAATGTCATCATACTTCTGCCACTAGAAATGAAATCCAGTCTTTCAAATATTTGATCTAGTTTGATAGTATATGAAATTGGATACAGAACATTTGTGGCAGCAGGGGAAACAGTTGCATTGTCAGAAGAATTTAACAACAATTACAATGCCATTCCAATCATTTAGATTCAAAATATTAAAGGCGTGAGGGCGTATGTTCTGATGAAATAACAAAGGTTCAGCCCTAGGTGATTTATCTTTGTGAATAAGTACATACAAAACTCTTGCCTCCTTTTTCAATTAGAAAGCTACGAATCTAAAATGCTTAGAAGCTTATTTTCATTGATCTTCGTTGTTTGGAAGAAACCAGTTCAAGCAGAGGATTCTGAAGGTAATTGGAATCTGCAGATGGAGTCAGATACTTCCATCTATAAACCGAGAACATGTGGACACAATTTTTTAGCCATCAATATGTAAAGAATCAATTCAACCAAAAGCTTAAGCTTAAAGCTAATGGTTTTATATTTATCTAACACGTTCCTTCACATGAGAGTTTACTGGGTTTGAAGGGTGAATAATATGTTAAAAACTCGGGGTAGGATATTGTAACAATCAAATAGGGTTACTACTAATCAATTTCAACGTTAGATTGATTATGTTGATCCAACGGTTATATTTATTTCCATCTTTGTATGATTATGATTCCCCATATTTAATGTGAAAGCATTAAATATGAAAGATCATAACCATATAAAGGTGGAAATAAATATAAAATATTAAATATGAGAAATCATAACTATACAAAAATAGAAATAAATATAACCGTTGGATCAACATAATCGATCTAACGGTGAAATTGATTGGTAGTAACCCTAATTGGTTTGTTACAACATCCTTCCCCTACAAATTCTACAATACTTGATTAATTATTAATTAAATAAGGCGGTAACGATCGAACTCGTGACCAATTAGTCACGGAAGCTTTGATATCTCTTATAAAGAATCAATTCAATTCAAAAGTTTGAGATAGTGGATAAAGATAGGTTAATGGTTTTATATTTTTGTAACCCAAGATCATCTTATAAAGGGGGAAAATTGTCTCCTTTGCTTGTGTACACCAGAACATGCAATGTTGAACATTTAAATGGCATTCCAACCCAAATGTTCCCTCAGTCAACAGATCTAAAAAAACTAGTAGTTTGGTCCTCCTAAGTTGATGTTGGTTACCTTCTCACCCATATAATTGATGTAGCTATTTATGGCTAATAAGGTGATAACGTAGGACAAATCTGAATTGTCCAATACAAGTGTTACTCTTTTTCAAGTAGGCACTATGGCCTAATTGTGTGCATGTGATTTGGGCCATTTACACATACATCAACATGTCTTTCTATGTCAACAATTGTAACAGCCTAGGCCCAACGTTGTGTCCAACGGTTCACGTGTATTGTTACCTTCAAAACCCTGACCCCTCCCCTCTGAGGGTTGGGGTCACAAGTTGGACCCTATATCATATCGATCCTTCCGACCCCCAAAACCCAGCCGGGTTTCAATGACTCCCGGGTCAGAGGGGTCAAAAGGGGTCATTGCATGTTTTTTTTTTTTTAAAAAAAAATTCCATGAAACAATATTATTTTATTAAAAAAATAAATAAAAATGCTTGCAAGCTTAAATCTAATTGTTCTCTTCTCTCCTAATGACCTAAATGTTTTCAATCTTCACCTCACTGCCGTGAATCTTCTAGAAAAGGTAAGAATTTTAACCCTTCAAATGAAATCCTTACGGTTGTCGATGGAAAACAAAAACTCATTCTTCCTTCCTTTAAATTTTCCTTTGTCAGAGATCTTCTCAAAAGAGGCAGAACCGGGTCAGTGTAGTGACCCCATTAGAATATGAGTTTTGTACTTTGGTATCTTGATACTTTAATTAGGTTATATAATATTGACTTGTGGTTGTAATTGATAAATTATGTTAAATATATTTTGAATCTTTGATGATTGGTGATTTGTCTTTTAATATTTTCATATAGGATATATCTATTTATATTTTTTTAATATATAAAACCGGGTCAGCGTAGTGACTCCCTGACCCCCCGGTTGAACCCGTGACCCCATGACCCCTGACCTCAGCCGGGTCAATGGCCGGGCCCGACCGAGTTTTTAAACACTGGTATTGTAACATGCCAAAGTGAAACGAATCTTACATCTCATGCAACACTCTTCAGATTTTCATCTTTTCTTGAGCTATCTATCTCTCTCTATCTCTCTCTCTCTCTCTCTCTCTCTATATATATATATATATAAAGGAAACTCATTTGTTGGAAAGTTTTGCCATGTGTCACCCCCTCCTTGCATCTCAGATTTCTGTTTACACCACTACCCACTTAAAAACTTTCCTTCTTTGGAAAATTGGCAAATTCGAATTATTAAATATTTTAAACATTTTAAAATACGAAACAAAAAAAATGTTTAATTGAATTTTGATTCAATTGAGTTGTGGTGGCAGACACCTCATTCAATGTCCAAGTGTCCCAGTCCTCATTCAATGTCCCACTCAGCTGTTTCATCGTCAGACTTTAATGATGATTTCTACGTTTAAATCTGATCATGATTTGTACATTGGAATGATCAGCTCTTTTAAAATTCAAAATATGATTTGATTTCAATATTTCGATTTAAATTTTGAAATATTTCGATTTCATTTTTTGAAATCCAAATTGTAATGGTGGGAAAAAAATTTCTTTTAAAAATCTAAATTCTTTTTAAAATAAAAAAAATTCATTTGTGGTGGCACACAAGTCATTGAATGTCCCACTGCTGTCCACATTGCAATTACTCAGCCCTTTTAATTGCTTTCTACCTTGAAATTGCTCAGCTGATTTAAAATTCGAATTTTGAAATGATTTCAAATTTTGAATTTAAAATATGGATGGTAGGAAGAGATTTGGAAAGTTTTGGGTGGCACTCAGCTAATTTAATCTCTGACTACTTTTCTTTTGTTGCTTACGTCTATAAAAAGGAACGTTGTGCATTGTTATTTCCTTCTTCTGTTCGGTCTACAATTTTTGCTAATTGTTTCTTTGAGAAAAATAGCTTCTTTCTTTTCTTCTTTTTGTCTTCCAAAACGAAATGTTTTAAATTTTTTCGTCTCTGTTGTGATTTTAAATTTCTGTGTCAATTGTTATGATTTTCGTTTTTGTTGTTTGAATTTTGGCTTTCAATTTTTTTGTAGGGTGGAAGAATCCATGCTACTGTCAAATGATCTTTGCAGGTCTGAAAAAAAATCTGTGACAGAGAGGTGTATTTTATAGGTCCAGACTCTACAATGTAATGGATGCATTGTTATGAATGACTGATATAATGTATTAAGCTCTAAAATGCTTCTACATCTTTTTTTAATTCATTTATGTTATTGACTGTAATGTGAACTGTACATATTACATAAGAGCTATTTGATGAGGATCTAATCTTGGTGAATATAACCTTCTGACTGCTTCTTCTTCTTTGGGTGCTATTATACAGACATATGATGCATCTTCAAATGTAACTTGAGAATATAAACTAACAGCAGTGCTCTTGCTCATCTTTTGTCTATTTTATCAGGATGTTGGCTATTGGCTGGAGACTATAAATCTTGGTAATTATCGACAAATTTTTAAAGAAAATGGTGTTAATGGAGAATACCTGGAAGGAATGTCTATGTTCACGACTGAACAGATCCTTTGATTCATTAGACGTTGCCACATGAAGTAGGGAGACTTTATCACATTGTGCAAGGAATTAAGACGGATTAAAGGTTTTTCTCTCTCCCTTAAACAGTAAATATATAATGACGTGCCAATAAACTCTCATTTGATTTTATTTTTTTTTACTAATTTGTTGTGTGCTTTTCATCCACTGAGATATGGCTTGATGATCGTTGTTGTAACAATCTGTTTGATGCCATTTGAACAATCTAAGGAAACATGAATATACTAGATGAAAGATTAAACTGGAGGTTTAGTATGTGTGAGATATATCTTGAAATTGATATCATGCGTCTGTTTTTTTTTTAATACCAATATCATGCGTCTGTTTTCGGTACAGTTGTCACTTCAATACAGGCAACCATTAACAGATTCTCATCATGAGGCATAATTTTCTGAATTTGTTATGCAATATTGCAAAGAAAATTTATGAATAATAAGTTTATAAAACAGCAGTATAAGTTTATGTCAATATTTATGAATTATACAATACAACAGCTGCATTGCATTGCAAAACTTTGTACCAAAATATTTTTTTTAATAGCAAACAATAAAAAATGCATATCAAAATATTCTATCACTATTTTGGATATTCGTTTATTCGTTTTTCACAGTATGTTATACTTAAACTAATTTATTTATTTGTTGTTATCAATATTCGTTTTATCTTTGTGATTTTTTATTTAGATTTAACTATATTTGAAAATCTATTACGGTTTGGGCCTTTAATTTTAAATGTAATTTCAAAATCAGAACTGAACAATAAAAAAATTAAAGCAATAGGGTTTTGTGCCTTGTGTATTACTAGTCTACATACACTTAAAAAAAATCAAGTCTTTTTTTTTATGATGTCATATTTGTCTATTTTTCATGGGTAATTGTTAACCCTATTAATATTGCATAAAAAATTATTGTAAAATAAAAAAATTGTTTATATTGTAAAATAAATTCGAAATTTGAAAATAAATTAAATGAAAAATTATGTGAATAATTTTTAGTGACAGACAACTCATTCAATGTCCCACTGCATTCTACATTGGAATTTCCAAATTAATAATAACTCAACTCTTCTAAATTTTGAATTTATGTGTAAATTTAAATTTTGAATTTGAATTTTTAACTTTGTAATGGTGGAAAAACTTTTGAAATTTTTTTGTGGCAGGCAG